TGAATTTGATCGATCATATCCATAACATTCAGAATACAATCGCAAATGCAGTATAGTTCAGAATACAATCGTAAAAAATATATATATCATTATCATTATATTACGTACTAATCACGCTCAAATCAAAAATTTTTCACTGTCGAAATCAAAAACTTATCGAATCGGCCAAACATTCATTCAGTCAATTTTTTGCCAGATGTCCCAAAAATAATGAAAACAGCTGTAACATATAAACATGAACCGGTACTCGGGTTTGTTTGGAAATGTCGGTGGGTGATTTCAAGGCAAAAACCCCAAATAGCAAATTTTGTTTGACTAAAATGAACTTGTCTCGGTGAGTATTGGTCAATTTTAACATTTTTAAATCTTAAATCCTAAAAACGTATACTCTTATCTGGGCTGGGGTCTTATCAATGTTTCAAATTCAATATCCAACGGATAACGAATCCAAGCTCCACATGAGTTCTTTTATGGCAAACCCGTGCTTATATATTTATTTCATGTGCTTTAAGCATGATTTTGCTGTGAAAGAACCCATATGTGTTCGCATTGTGCTCAAATTAAAAAATTTTTTTTTTTTGAATAAACAATTTAAATTCATAATTTAATTCGTCAAAATCAATGATGATGATTTGGATAACCCTGGTACGTACGTACGTACATAATATGTTTGATCGTCCTTAACGTTAATTAAATCTAATTAAATTTAATAATAGTTTAACCTTTAATAGTAAAATCGGTCGGACACTTTTTAAATTTAATACGAAACGGATAACGGGTCTAAGCTTAAACATTTTGAGGCTTGTATTTTATCTCTCATAATGCTTATACTAAAAGAAATAAAAATTTATATTATTGCGTAATTTAACAATTTTTTGATCTAGCCATTAACGTGTTCCGTTTTGATTATGGATATAGAAATTCATTCGATCATTGCTTCAACTATATAAAAATATCTTAGCCATATTTTCGAATGTACTATATGTAGAAGTTTCTTTCTTTTTTTTTTTTTTTTTTTTAGCGAAAAGAGAAAAAAAAATATTTGTTTGTTATGAAAATAAAAGTATAACCAATTTCACACCAATTTTCATAACTAAATTTTTGGATGGATAAATCATCGCATATACGTGGCTCAAAAGATCCAAATACTGCAGACACGAATTTGGAAACGCCACAATTATATCAAACAATTGTCAATATTCCAAATGAACCAACGTTGACTCCCACAACATCCATATATACAAATACGGTACAAACGCATACACAACCACCACCCTCAAAGTATATAACAACACGACCTCAACCTATACAGCATCCAAGTTCTTCAGTACCTACTCAAAACGTCAAACTCGCATCTATTCAAAACGTCAAACCCGAATCTACTCGAAACGTCAAACTCTCTTTGGATGATGACAAACCAGTACTCACTAGGCTTTGTAAAATCTGTCAAGAATCGGATTTCATAGAGGATGAAGAAGGTCCTTACGTAAAGGGCAAATTAATATCACCATGTAAATGTACAGGCTCTATGCAATATGTTCACATTGGATGTTTGAACCAATGGCGAATATCTTCAGCTCGAGAGGATTCATCGTATCGATGTGAAATTTGTAAATATGAATACAAATTTTATCGACCAACCTTTGCAAAACTAATTGCTAGTCCTATTTTTTTACATCTGGTAACTATAGGAATATTTTTATTTGTCGTTTATGGTGTTTCATGGATAGTGAAATCGATTGATATTAGAATTAACAAAGGTCAACCTAATAATGGTAAATCATGGGCAGATACTCCAATATTAAGCCTTAAATTAGTTCATCTCATTTGTGGAATATGCATAGTCTCAATTTTGAGTTTATGTTTTATGGCGTTTTATTCTTGTTGTAAGGGATATCATGATACAAGAGATACTTATTGCTATTGTGGCGGGTGCAATTGCTTTACTCCTTGGTGTTTTTTTGGTTTTCCTGATTCAAATGATTTAAGTGCTATTATATTGGTGATATGTATATTAATGTTTGCAATCATGATCGTGATGGGAATTATTTTTGCTTTGGTCACTGGGTATTTGTTGTTACAAAAACATGTTAATGTTTATTTAGATGGTATACAAGAAAGGATCTTGGATGTTAAAAAGGAATAGGAATGTTAAAAATGAATTCTACAGGTGAAAATGATTATTATTAATATTAAATTTCTAATTATAATATCTGGAATATCTATATTTGAAATTGAAGTTTAGGTGGTATAGTAAATAATTACGACTGAAAACTTTTAGGCTAATATATGTATAACGCTATTTAAAATTATAAATTTCAACGTTTATCGTTATTGTAATAGCCATAACCCTTTTTAAAGGAAGATACTATTTCTATTAGTTATTCTGCCTTTGAAGTTCGTTTCGAACTAATATTGTACAGTACTTGCATTGTTATTTTCTGAAAATCAGCATTGTTATATTGCAAATAAACTTTGAATATTACCGTAACAACATATAAGATCCAATTTTATTAATATTTAATATAACATAAATACATCTAAAAATAATTGCTTTTGATAAAACACAATTCTACGTTAACCTATTGTATCTATTGTATACTAAAAAGAAAAAAAAGATTAATAAATTAGTCAAATAATAATCAAATATGCCATCTTTATTACGCGGCCTAATATTGCTTCCACCAAACGCTTCGAAGAAACCGGTACCTCCACAATAAAAGACACACATGCAATGCTGACATTAAACATACGTTCAATAATTTTTAAAAAAGATTAAAAATATAAAATTTTGTATATTCAAACTTTCTCAAAATTATTGAGCATATGTCAATTCTAACATTACATACACGTATAGGAACCAAGATTAGTTGTTACATAATTAAGAAAGGTACATAACTTATTTCTCATGCAAAATTAGTAGGCTTAATGAGCAGTACGTAACAGCCTTATGTTTTCAGACGCGGTAGAAACTATTACGGCTTAGTTACCGCATATCCAATTTCCACATACAAAATACCGAAATACTGACCTTTATCTTTTACCTGCTCCTCGTCATTTCAAATAGAAATACGGTCACCCCTTACTATAGTCACACTCGCTATAATCACACCCTGGTTATAATCACATTATTATTTTTTTTTTCAGTGTTAAGGTGACCTCTTGGCCACTGTGCGCTTTATTGGGTAGACAGGTTTTTATACATATTTGGAGAGTACGAACTAGCCATACCTGTGCTTTTTGGGCACCTATTTAAGTAGTCTGCCTATTGCTAGGTTTTATACTAGATATTTGCCTATAACCCTTCTACTTAGATTATTTATTTAAACCCTCTATGCCTATGTATTCTGAGGTCGGTACCATTGTTGCCCTG